ACCTTAGGATTGAATATTATCAGTGACATGACACGCTGAAGTACCGGCGGCTACCTATAGTGCCGAACCGACTAGTCACTTCGTAGGATGCCATGTGCATGTCGTTGCAAGGCGAGCCATGCCCGCTAGACATGAAGGGATTGTTTCTGAGATGGACATCCCGAGATAATGACAGCAGCGAGCAATCTTAGACCACGACTTTGTGACACTATAAAGCTTGTGATTAGCGTAGGAGACTGGCGACAAATACACGGTGTGCATGATGTGGCCATGTGACTATTCGCGCCATCACGCCGCCACCTTGCGATTTCAGACAAGCTCAGGACTTTTCATTTGTCGCTCTACGTGGCCCATTCGTGTGGCTACGGTGCTGTCTCTAGCATGGAAGGAGAGGTGGAACAGAAGATGAAAACGGTGGTTGAGGAAAAAACGAAGCTTGGAAGGAACGACCTCGGGGGCCACCCGCCCGGGCGGTTGATCTCACATCACGTGCACGCTAGTGCCGCATGCAGCTCCAACGCAGCATCATTACATTCCCTGCGCTCGTCATGACAACCAAGCAATCGACACGACACAACGATTGAACTGTCTTTGTGCTGGTGCGTTGGAATTACTTTTCCACACGGGAACCACAGCGCGAATCCTTTATTTGCGCGATCGCGGCCATACGATGATCATTCAGCGCGATCGAGAAACATCGGCGAAAAGAACTTGCAGCGCGATGGGTCCACGATCTCACAACTTCGCCAGGGCCGTCTCTGAAGATCGCGCAATCCATCTTTGTACCTCGGGATGCTCACGGTAATCGGCAGGAAAGAAGCGCGGTCCAAGAATCTTTTTCTGCACCTTTCCCGTTATCGTCTTCGGAAGCTCGTTGTCCACGATCCTCAACAGCGTGGGTAGCTTGTACCCGGCCAACCTCTCGCGTAGATCTCGCCGCAAATCGTCAAGGGTTAAGACGTTTCGGAAGGTATTCTCGGGTCTCAAGGACGCAGAAGGCAATACTTCCTGCTGCAGCGAGACCAGTGCAGCGACGCGTTGCCCGTACTCCTCATCTGGTACACCAACCACCATGGCTTCGGCTACATATGGCAGACTCAGCAGTTCGCGCTCGACGTCCAGAGCCGAGATCTTGTACCCGCCTGACTTGATGATGTCTAGAGACGCCCGACCGATAATGAAGTAATATTTGCCCTCTCGTCGCGCAATATCGCCGCTTCGAAAGTATCCATCTCGATCATGAGCTTTTGCAGTTCCCTCAGGATCACGCAAGTACTTTGAGAACATATGCTAAACTTGCTTAGCGCAACCTATTAAGCCGACTCGTGTATGACTTACTGGGCTTTTCACGAGCACCTCTCCCTCGTCTTCTTCGGATAGCTTGACATCAACGCCACTGGCGAGTTCACCAACTGAACCTTCTGGCACGCTCTCATCGCCGAGGCGCATCTTAAAGATAGCCCCAAACTCGGTAGCTCCGTATCTTTGCAGGATCGGCTTTTGCATCAGGTGTTTCCAAAAGTCGTCGAGTGGCTGCGGTAGTGCTGACGTCCCGCATAAGCAGGCTCGAAACTGTCTCGCGCCCGCGACGTACTTCGCTATCTCATCTGCAGGTAGCTTGCTTATTCTTTGTTGATAGTACCGTCGCATCCTCATGTATATAGTGGGTACACCGGAGAAGATGGTTAGTCGTCGTTTGGTATCGGAAGCGCTCTGTTTCCATCGCTCCCACATTTGCTCTTCGTCAAAGCCTCCGCTGCGAAACTCGATACGGCTACCAGCCACGAGAGATGGAAAGAAGTTGATGCCAACGCCGGTCGCATGATGCACCGGAAGAACGTGGAGAGCGACATCATCTTCAGTCAGCCGGTAATGATCCGCCACTTCGAGCGCACAATCAAAGATGAACGATCTTCGCATGACTGCACCCTTAGGTGGCCCAGTAGTCCCGCTGGTAAAGATGACCACAGCGGGCGCATTCTCATCCAAAGTTCGGTCGGAAGAGATGATGATGTCTCCAGCATGGAGAGTAGGACACGAATTCGTTGGCTGAATGCTTACGGCTTGGAAGCTCTTGTTACTCACCGATGCAACCCGGGTTTCCAGGTCGCGACATTTCCTCATATTCGATGAGCTGGCAAGAACCAGCACTGATCTTGACTTCTCGATGAAGTAGACTGCCTCTTCTACGGGTAGGGCTGGAGTCAGTGGCACTACAGCAGCTCCAAGAGCAAGTATCGCCAACACTGCTACTGCGTATTCATAGCCTCCTGGTGCTATTACGGCGATGTATACCTCTTCCCGTGTTTCTAGTGCCTCACGAGTCGCACTCGTCAACGTGCCGAGAAGCCTTTCCATCAGGGCTAGCACATTCGAGAGTAACTCTAGATGAGTCTTTTGCATATTCAACCGAACATCGTCGATAGCTATACGCGCAGGTCTCCGGTTGGCAAATCGGAGAAGCCGACTGAAGAGAGGCTAGGATATGTTCAGCACAACGCCATGAGCATATCTGCATATACGCTTACACTATTCGGCAGCACGTTACGCCCAGAGTGCTTCGGCACCATACAACATCGGTCTTCCATCATCGTATTGCTCGGTTCCTGCCCAAGCATCTGGGATTGACCGCCAATGCTCCGTATCCACTCTTCGTACCTGGGTATTGAGGTGTTGTACTACATGATGAGCTTGCTACAAACGCTCGGCTATAACGACTCGCATGCGGGGTTTCATCAAGATTATATTTCCTTAGCCGATCGTATCACAAGATTCGCGGGGAAGTATTCCGCGAAACCCCGCAACGCTTTCACTCCCGGCGCTAATGGCTGTGCAAGGCCCCGCCGCACGCTCGTAGCCGTAATGATGGCCCAAGGTCACCGGCAATCTCGATAATAAGGCGATGCAGATTCGCATAACGTTGGCATCAATTAGTTGCATGCGGCACAGCTTCAACACACCGTTCGGCTCTTCCGCCCGCGTTCGATGCATGAAAGGATGACCGTCACGCGAGTCGTTGTGCCGATGGTCACTGCTCCTTCACCGTTCATGGACTAGCAGAGAGGTTTGCGACCGGTCGGCACGGCTTCTTGGACAGAACCACTCAACGTGCAATTCTCAAAATGCCATCACATCAGACCCCCGGGGTTTCCGTTACGCGCCGGCCCTGAGCGTGTCACTACACGCGTATCACAATCTCATAATTTTGCACGAAGGATGCGATCAATTCCCCAGGTCGCATGGTTGACGCGGCTGCGTGATATCAAGCTCAACTCGATCCACATTTCTAGTTTTTACTCTCTCAGGGCCTCAGGCGCCTATGGCCCCGTACATTCAATCACAAATTTGTTGTTTTCTCCCGTCCAACGCTGTTCCGGGTCGTCTACCCGGCCTCGCATACCGCCGTTCGCTGTGCGACGGCCTAGAAACCTTAATCCTACGGTGTCGCCTAGATAGTCCCTCAATGCAAGAGGCTACAAGGCGCATGGAAGCCTTCGATAGCTCTGCAAATACTTCCGCAATGCAGCTGCCTGGAATGAGCCCGATTGCTCAGAAGAACCTGCTATTTCCTTTTGGAAAGCGCTGCATGCATGGCGCTTGTCGCTTATTGGGCAGCGCCGTCGCACATAACGTGGGGCTTATTGCATCAGTCAGCCACAATGGCTGCAGCTGCAGCCGCATCGACATCTATCTTCGTCATCTTACTGCCGACAAGGGTTCTGTTTGATTGTTCCTTAGCGATGCTGATGGTATTTGCTGGCATTTCGCGTTGGTAACGACCCACTAACCGAAGGACCGCCGGCGACGTGTCTCCTCAAAGGCCTTACCGATCATATGACGCATCATTGTTTACACTCACAGCCTGCTCAGAGGCGCTGCATCACACCGCTACCTGTCAGATGCTATTTGGAGTGTCACCGTGGTAGCTAGCTTCGGTGAGCTCTCAATACTGCGGCGAGACTGGTTTGTCGAAGGCAGTCATGAAAAACGTGTTCACATTGACTGGGACGTTGAAAGCAACTATGTGCTAGCGCTGGCTCCTTGGTTTCGCGGATCCCTCCAGGCTGCCATGACACGCTCAGCGCTGCTAAACGCGGATGCATTTCTGTCGCAAAAGTGGTTCGGGCACACAAGCATCCAAGCGCCTGGTCATAGGGCTGCAATTTGACCTTGCTTGAGGCGCACACCGACTAAAGAAAGGCAACACTTCCGGTGTATTGATTTGCCTGCAGTTAGTTTGGTATCGATGATCAAACAATGCCTCGTGGCATCCTGGTCACATGGGCCATTCAGGTTGAAGAGCAGCCAAACCCGCAATTTCAGATACGATCGGAATGTCACGCTGTGCCGCGACAAGTCCCGCAGCGACAGCACGATCGAAGGACGTGGATGACAGCCTGATTTTGACAGTCGACAAACAAGGACAACTCCTATGCGCCCCACCCTTGTCGCCAGGGGCATAGACGTCACAGAATAGCAAATTGATGTTTTTCAAGCTGCATATTGTCGCTAACCTCAGCCTCGAAAGGCGAGGATTGGCGAGATGGAAAAGCAACGCATACGAACGGTCCTAGTCGTGCCCATCTCGTTTGTCGGCGGGAACCCTCTCTGAACGTTGCCGCATCGGCTGCACCTCATCCGTTACGCGAGGTTTGGTAACTCAGGCACGGTCGAGCAAAGCGGACGGGGAAGACGGCACGAGACACGTTTGGCGCACGTCAAGGGTTGAGTGTGAATCACGAATAAGCAGACAGGCGGGGAAGGCGGGAATGAGCGTGGCTTATGCGCACAGATGTTTCCGCATGCGGTCATAGTCCTTCTCGGCCCGTAGTGGGCCAATGCCTCCCGTCACACCAGGCGCAGCTCAATGGGGCCTTTTGCGGTGAAGGGGGTAAAATCATCTCGTGCTTCACATGCCTGGGTGTTTGCTCACCCAATTCGTCGTATGTGTGACTCTTCATCGCTCCGGTATATATACTGACTGCGCAAAAGCCACGACCATGTCCCTTGAATTACCCCTAGTATCGCGCAACGGCCGGCTTTTTGATCCCATCACTAGCACCATTCCCCGCTTCCTCGAGATGCTGGCCAAACCACACGTTCCGCCCATACCAATGAAGTCGTTTCATCTCTCATGTCTAGACCAAAATGTAGTGCGCGTTTACATACAGACTCTGTGTATCTTTCCTGTACGTTCTCCCAAATCGTTTGTGGTGTTGACAGAAATTGACGTTATCCGCAGTTTCCCGATCAGAATCTCGCCGAGGATGCCATACAGTCTCTGAGTGCTGGGCTCCGCCTCACACTCAACAAATTTCCCTTTCTCGCTGGCACTCTCACACTTGCGGACCGAGAAGCGGGTAAGCTTGCTCTCCACTACCCAGCGGAGATCACAAGCAAGCACCTGAGTCGTGTGTTTCGATCGAAGCAAATCCCGTACCATGAGAAGAACTTCCCACACACCTACGAACAGCTCAAAAGAGATGGCATGCCACCTAGTGCTTTCGAGTCATCGATGTTTGTCCCAGAAGATCTTGCCGAGTATCCTGGTATCCCAAAAGACGGCGAGGGCAAGGTAGACTTTGACAAGAGCGATGCACCGGCAATGAGAACTGAAGCCTTCTTCATACCTGGCGGTCTTGTGCTCTCGATGTATATGCATCACAGTGTCTTTGACTTCTCCGGTGTTACTCTCTTTTGGCAAACATTCGCCGAGAACGTTTCCAGCCTTTCGAAGCAGCAACTCTTCGAAGAACACAAGATCATGCGTAAGACTCCTCACTGCATTTTCAAGCTATGACTGACCGAAACAGACATGGAGAGCGTCGCCGACAAGCAGTCTCAGATGCGGAAAGCCGTTGACGAGCAAATCAAGCCCCCACAGGGCAGCGCCAGCGCAGACTGCTACTGTGATGGCCCACCCCGGTATCTTCAAACCTTGCCTAAAGAGACGAAATGTACCCAGAGGCTATTCGTCATTCCAGCATCACGAGTACGCAAGTACAGGGAAACTTTACGCACCCAATTCCCCGAGAATACCCCTCCAACAATGTGCAATGTCCTTGCAGCCCTGGTCTGGACGCATGTTACCCGCGCTAGAGCAAGTCGCTTGACCAAGTGCGGGTTGACAGAGACTAGCATCGGGATCGCGACGGACCTGCGAAGACGGCAACGACCTCCGGTATCCACAGACTACACAGGAAACATGGCGTTGTTCTCGCGAGGCACGATGAACGTCTCAGACCTCACAAAAGAGGACCGGTGAGTCTAGCCCCTACTACCGTATGATCGCATGTCACACTCTGTGTCTCCCTGAACCTTGCAGTCCAAATCTTGAGCAACGCGATTAAGTTTGAGAACCCCAGCTGACAAATAACGGCAGTGTAACCAAGTCGACAATCATCAACGTCATAAACACCATCAAGAGCACGATCCTCGACGTCGACGACGAATGGGTGAACCGCCACCTAACCTTCTTCAAGTCAATCGAGCAGATTACCGACACCGAGGTTGCACTGGCCTTGAAGTTCGGCTCAGACATCTACATCTCGTCGTGGCTCAACTTCGGCGCTGATATCAGCTGGGGCATACCTGGTACGGATCTAGGCAAGGACTCCCTGGCCGGTCGACCCGAGTTCATCAGACGATCTTACGGTCCGGGTGATGGCGGCATGATCTTCCTTCCCCGACGGAGACAAACTGCGAACCAAGAGGAGGCGCCGTTTGAGATCCTCGTGCGACTTGCTGAAGAGGACATGACGCGCGTGCTGGAAGAGGAGGGCGGATTGAGCTCTTGGGCCGACGCGGTGATTGAATGAACGGTGAACCCCATCGTTTGTTCATTGGTATGTTGTGGTTGCCTTCTTCTGGGCAATGCGAGTTTGGTGCACCGGTACACCAATCTGTTGATGACGCTTACGGTCTTTCGTTTCGAAACGATGGTTTAGGGTATGATTATCTGGTGTTGTATTTCGGTTAACGACTTGGGTCGGGCATTTGATATCCTGTACAATTAGCTTGCATTGGGCGGTATCTCAAAATCGGGGGGCGTTTTTCTTTAGTTGGGATGGATTTCGTTAATGGTTGCTCTTTTCGTGTTTGGGTTTGGGTTTGATGGCGTATGGTAGCATGAAAACGCTGGCCATTATCATGTAATACTATAATGCTTTCCGATCTGCATCGTAGTGTTAAAGAGCGGCCTTGACCTACACTTGGTGATGTTCGTTCGTTAGTCAGATGTCTCTAGTCGATAGCAATGCTGCCATTCCACGGCCACCGAGCCCTGCGACCCCGCATTCCGACGCCCCGCAGCTTTGCGCCATCAACCTTCTCCGCGCGACATCCACGGCTTCTGCCCACCACACATGATCCGCGCATACCGAGGCAGTGATGCAGCTTACATCTCCGCGTTATTGCCGGCGCGTCGAGATTCACGATGCGAGCTTGTCTCCAATGCCCGGCGGCATGCTCAGTCGGCCTCAACAGCACCCGCCCACCTCGCTTCGAAACGCCTGCAACTGACTCTGTTGGTCGAGCAAACAATTGACGAGTAGCCAATCGCATCATGGCAGACTTCACCGATCATCTCAAGCCCGCACACGATGGCACAGCAACCCTCCAAGCCGAACGCGACGGCTCGGGCATTGACGTCCACCAACTCGCACAGCACCTTCTAGGCCGTGATGACTTCCTGAAGCGGCAAGAAAAGGTCCTCCGCGTGTTGAGCAAGGAGAAGCTTTTCAGTAAAGATCAGCAGCTCAATCTGTCGCGACCAGAGCGGTACCATCTAGGCCTAGCAAGAGCGAAAGCCATTCAGCGATTGATGAGACGAGAAGGCTGGGACCATGAAGACTACCAGATGGCGGAATACCTGACTGACGAAATGAGCCCATACTTCTTGCATATGAGCATGTTCGGTGAGTCAACGGAAGGTTGCAGCTGAGAAAGATGTCGTGCATAATCGTACCACCGGGGGGCTGGGAGCTGACATGCACCGCATCGCACAGTCACAACGGTACGCGAGCAAGCCTCCGAAGAACAGCAAATGTATTGGATGCCCAAGATCCTCAACTACGACATAATCGGCTGCTATGCGCAAACCGAACTAGGCCATGGTAGTAACGTACGCGGCCTGGAAACCGTCGCAAAGTGGGACCCGATGAAGAAAGAGTTCGAGATCCACAGCCCAACTCTCACGGCGAGCAAATGGTGGAATGGGTCGATGGGGAGGACCGCCACGCATGCAGTACGTATTCAGCCCCTTCTTGTGCGACTGTTCCAGAACTTTATGTCTGCCTTGGGCGTTCGCTAACGTAGCCGCGTATAGATTGTGGTCGCACAATTGCTCTTGCCGAAAACGTCCTCCACAGCCGAAGGATCAGAAAAGGCCGACCGAAAAGACCAGAAGATCGAGTATGCCTCTCACGGGCCGCAAACCTTCATCCTGCAGATTCGGGATGCGAAGACCCATCAATCTTTGCCAGGGATTGCGGTAGGCGATATCGGTCCGAAATACGGGTATGCAAGTATGGATAATGGATATATGCTCTTCGACCACTTTCGCGTACCCAAGTCGGCTTTGCTGAGCCGCTATGCGGAAGTTTCGGACGAGACAGGCGCATTCATTCGGACTGGTCATCCGGCTGTCGTATATGGAAGTCTGACGTTCGTACGCGGACAGATCATAATGCATGCAAGGCTGGTCCTTGCGCGAGCTGTTACTGTCGCTGTGCGATACTGCGCTATCAGGCGACAATTTAAGGACCGCGATTCTGCCAACCCTTCAGACGGCGAGATGAAGGTTCTGGACTACCCTACCGTACAGATACGGATCTTGCCGTTGCTTGCGACTACTTTCGCGTTGCATTATACTGGCGAGTATATGTACAAGCTGTACCACAAGTCGAGAGAAAATATCGAGAAAGGCGACTTTGGGCCTTTGGCGGAATTACACAGCGCGAGCTCAGGACTGAAGAGCCTGTGTACGACGCTTGCTGCGGATGGCATCGAGACCTGTCGACGCGCAATGGGCGGCCATGGCTTCGGTGGTGGGAGTGGGCTGGTAGGGCTAAACGGTGACTACCTCTCCAAGCCAACTGTGGAGGGCGACAACTGGATGATTACCCAACAGGTCGCTGCGTACCTCATCAAGAAGATGTCGAATGCGGTCAAGGACCCAGACTCACCGGCCAAGGATCCAACGGACGAGCTCTTCCAGTTTTATCTTCGCAACAAAGGCCATCGCTTACCGCAAAACGTCTTGAAAGACGGAGTTGTAGACGACCAAGGTATAGTCGACGTGTTCCAGTGGCGCGCGGCTGATCTTTCCTACCGCGCTTATCAAGCACGTGTTGTTGAGAAGAAACCGTGGACACGTCTGATGATCCAGCTCCATAACCTCAGCCGCGCATACTCAGAGCAGATCCTCACCACGAACTTCTACAACAGCTTCGGCTCCATACCTTCGTCCGCATCGCCCGCCCTACGCACATGCTTCCGGCTGTACGCGCTTTACACCCTCGACCAATCTGCCTCCTCATTTACAATGACAGCCTCCGTGCCGCCCGAGTCGGTCTTTGCCTTGCAGGATGGGATCATCGACCTTATGGCCGAATTGAGACCACATGCGGTGAAGCTGGTGGACGCCTGGTCGATACCAGATTGGCTGTTGAACAGTGCGTTGGGCAGGAATGATGGTAGGGTATATGAGGAACTTTTCGACATGGCGCATCGCAGAAATCCGCTCAACAAGGTAACGTTCAATCCGGACTGGCGCAGCGAGGAGATTGTGTTGGGAAGTGAGGATGGTGGTCGGCATCTGTTGGCGAAGCTATAGCATGAGCGCACCTCGTCGTAGAAAATTACTGTCTGTGCATGTGCGTCGTGTTGACTTCGCTACTCCTGTGGTTTTGGTGCGGACACCTGTCAGATGTTAATGTGGACGAAATTGAAACTCGGGGTAGCGTGAAACAAAGTCTCCCAATGTATGCGGCTGCCCCTTTATGCTTCCGGCACCGGTGAGAAAACTTCGCAATGTTCAAGACCCAAGCGCATTGGCACGTCAAAGTAGGGGCGAGCTGTCAAGAGACTTGGGTGAACACTCCGCAATTCATAGTAGTTTCCAAACCTTAAATTCGCGGAGCGGTCCAGTCAATCTTACTAGTCGCCCGTTGGAAGAGGGCCGATTACTGATTGCTGCCCACGCCCAATGACAAGTTGATGTCATGGTTTTAGGCCTCCGAACGCTGGAGCCATTGAAAATGACATGCCATCTTTCCCTGCTAGACGACCGTTGAAACATTGGCATCGCGTGTTCGCGATGATCGGGTGCGTATCGGGAGTTGTTGGTCGGCGTATTTGAGGCGCTCCGAAAGTAGGCGGCCTGCATCGACCTTGCAGACTAATACTGGAGGCCGGATAGATGAGGGGATAGATACACCAGAAAGAGTAAGAATTTCGACACTAAGAAGTCTGAATCTTATCTGGCTGTGCCGCGAAACATGCATGGAGTTGAACGCCTCGTCTGGTGTTGCAGCATCGTCGCAGTCGGCAAGCGGGAGGCCGCTGAGCGCCAAGGCACCACTAAGTCCTGAGTCAGCAACGAGAGATGCCTGTCGCTTGTGACGCAGTTATGCAGTCTACGGCACATCAACCCACTATGCAGCACCGTTTTCCCGAGCACCGGGCCTGACCCCATGCCCTTCGATCTCTGCCATTCAACCCTTATGGTCCATCTTCCGCCAGTCACCGGGCGCTCCATTCCAAGCTCGTAAAAGCGTGGCCTGGGTTTCAGCCTGATCGCCGCTACGCCTTTTCTGGCTCAGGACCCTTCGGATGACCACGCAGCACATTCGCGGACCGGAGAGGAGACATAGTTATTAGACTTGACGTTCTTTGTTCTGTGCAATCGGATGCCCGCGCTAGTGTTTGCTTCGTAGGAACCTTACCTGAGCCTGAACAGCAGCGACTGCGGAGCTTGCCGCTCTTTCGTCTTACCGCCTCATCGCCTCCAGAGCTTGAGCATGTCCTATCGTGGCCGACCCAGTAAGGGATGCGAGGCTTGCAGAGCCCGTAAAGTCAAGGTACGCATCTCTTTCTGTCCAATTCTGCGAACTGCCCTGCTCTTCATGCTGCACCACGCGCAGGGCAACGACCGCCATGCGGACAAGGCTGATGCCAGAGTAGTGCGATGAGGGTAGGCCAGCTTGCAGTCGATGTAGCAAGGCAGGCCATGAATGCAAGTATCGAGACCAAGCCGACATCCTCTTTCGTAACCAAACGGCATCGGCTGCGCAAAGAGCAGAAGAGTCGTGGCGGAAGCGGTCAAAGTCAAACCAACGTGCTACCGTTGCCGAAAGTAGCAACGCCTACAGCAACACCTATAATAACACCTATATCAAAACGCCACCAAGCGACGAGTCAACACCACCTCATCTGGATGACACGCGCTCTTCCAGCGGTAGTGTACATTCTCCTGGTGGCTCTGTGGATGACCCGGCTCAAGAATCATCAAGCGTTGCGTCCGCAACCATCGATCTAAGCCGGCTGACTATTACTCCGTCGCTCAATCCGGACTTCCGTAGAAGAGCTTTTGAGCGCTTTGTGTACGACTTTGTGCTGCCCGACTCGCCGAACCGACCAGCCGACCAACCAGATGAAGCCCTGTGGACATTTATCCCGCTCTTGTATCAAGACGCCCCGGAGAACTCATTGATCGCGACAGCGGTTGACGCAGTATCTTACGTCAACTTCGCCAATAGATACAATGATTCTCATGCGCAAGCACTAGGTGAGGAATGCGTAGGGAGGGCCTTGCCGATGTTGACAAAGGCAATTGCGGACAAGAAGCAGGCAGCCACGAATACTGCACTTTGCTCGGTGCATCTGATGGGCATCTACGAGGTACGTTCGTTTGTTACAGTTTGCTGGTATGCACAAAATCTAACGCGATGAACAGAATCTTACCAGCGTGCAGCGGAAAGGCACCTTTTTGGCTCACAACCAAGGCGCAAATGCTATGCTTCAATTGCGGACGGTTGAGGAGTTCTACAGCGACATCATATCAGCCAGACTTTACGAAGTCATCTATGCGCATCTGGTAATCGCCGTCACAGATGAACACCTTTTTTCCGCTGATGGCTAACCTTGCGACAGCTATTAGGCAACTTACAGGCAGCAAGACGCCCGCAAATACCTACGAGAGATGTGGTCAAAGTAGACGAATTACTTCCAAGTCTATACAAGAACTCCAACGCCTTTGTCATTCGTCTAATATGGCGAGCGGCAATGCTACATGCCAGATGGCACGAAACCAAGCAAAGTCCAAACCCACCAACCAACCGCATGGCCTTGCAAGAGCTTCTACAGAGCGCGCTCGAACTTGAAAGCGACTACGAAGCTTGGGAGGCAAACGTCACACCGGCATGGAACTATCACATGACACCCAACACACCGGAGGCTCGATCGACCTACGATGCCAAGTTACAAAAGCTCTTTTTGGGTTGTCCGGGCGCACCGGAAGAGATTCACATCTACCCGAGCTTGAAACGCGTCTGGATCTGGGGCTTCTACCGTACGAGCCGCATACTTGTTCTACGTGATCTGCTCGAGATGTTGAATTGGATGTTGAGGTTCCGGGACCCTTGCCTATCTTTCCGTCCTCAAGAAGCCCCGGGTCAGTCTATGCATACTGCTCTGAGTAATGCAAATCTCCGCATGCATCACTCGGTCGCAACCGCCCGCCTAGTCGAGGTCATCGAGAAGAACTGTTCTTCCATACTTGGCAGCTTTACTGTACCGATAGATACCAAATCTGCTACCGATATCTGTGGCATGCGGGGCTATATCTGCATATGGCCCCTGGGTACGATGGATTCAGTACTTAGCTCAGGTCTTGTGCCGGATAGCAATGCGGGCAAGCATCCGCACAGCGCTACTCATCTACCAACACCACCACCAGTCCATTCGCAACCACATCTGGCCACATCCACTTCCAACGCGTCTTCCTCAAGTGAGCCGGCGACGGCCCTGGAATCCTACGAAGCAGCACCGCCATTCTCCGAGCTCCGCAACATTCGCTCCAAGTCGGAAAGCGACCAATCTCCTGGCGCGAGTCCGCCATCGAACACGCCGGTCTTGGACCAAAACGCAAAGAAGAATCACATCTTTGATCCCAACCCCGCGCACCCGTACGATCACCCGCTAGACCTACCTCCTCTCGATCATGGAGTTGAGCCCAGGAGGATAGACATTGCAGCGCGACGGGAATGGATAAACCGCCTGATGTACTACATGGCCACAGAATTGGGGCTGAAGAAGGCGCTCTGGTGCCCAGTCATGCAAGGCTACATGCCTACCGTGAAACCCATGGTTGACGAGATTCTCAGCCAAGAAAGAGGTTTCTAAAAACTCGAATTACGCATTTGGCAACGGAGTATAAGCAACAAGGGCATCTCGTTGGCGTTTTTGAGATTATGTCTTTTGCATTTACGAAGGGAAACATGGGGTTGGATGCACGATTTGGTAACATATTTGTTCACGTACATATATTTCGGTTCGAAGCTGTTTGGATATATACGAAAGTTATGGCTTGTATTTTGGAATATGAGGGTGCTGTCTAGTGAAAGGGAGTAAATAGTAAGCTGACTCGGTTAGAACAAGCCTTCACGACTACAGCCTTGGTCAAGAGTGGGTAAGCAATAGCTCGCTGGAGTCCTGACATTCACAGCTCGGCCTATGTACCCATCGCCTATTAGTCCCAGCTGCAATTGCGATTCAGTGCGACCAACCAGCCATCAACCTATTTCCACCAGAGAAATTCCCAAACTCAAATGGGCGGACACAGGATGAATTACGTCGCAACTCTGCCTTCCATCCCCGAGGAGGCCGTTGACAAGCACGACCTAATGTAAGTTCTTTCTTCAGAACTGTCGCTGCAAATGTTCGCCCGACCCGCTGACATGCACAGCACAGAAGCCAATGCCAAGAACTCACCCTTCCTGCGCCTCCCAGGCGAGCTGCGCAACAAAATTTACGGATATGCTTTCGCCGACTCTTCCATTGAACCACTGCTGGACCGGCGGACTGCCTCAGTACACGCTCGAACAAGCTCGGGCCGACCCATGTCCCCCACCGTCTCACTCATCCGAACATGTCGTCAGACCCGGTCTGAAGCCGAGTCTCTCTTCTTTTCCCACACAACCTTCGGCTTAAATTATGCGCGATACGACTTTCATCGTTTCCTGGGACACATTGGGCGTGAAAAGAGGGAACTCATCACGTCGATTGCCATGCTATTCTCTACGCTTGAATTGCTTGAGCAATACGAGGGGCGGTATAAGCTTCCACGGCTGGAGTACGTTTACGTGAGGGTGTCTGCTGAATATCATGAATACTATCGCAAGGGAAACACGCAAGCACTACAGAGGCTTGCTGGGATAATGGGAAAGAAATTGGGATGTGAGAAGGCTACGTGGGTTCCGAAAGTATATGTTTGCCCGTGCGATCGATGTCAAGTAGATAGGAGTGGTGGTAGATTCGGTTTGAGACAAGGAGATGACTCGTGTCTTCAGGCTGTCTCGGGTCGCGAGGACGTCACCTCGTCTTTTCGCTGCAGCCTTATGTAGTTAGTGCCAAGTTGCAGTCACCATCACCGTTTGTCTTCATGCAGACCCTGTGCTAGCGTCGCGGCCGGCATTGACTGACAGCTACCCAACCAACTACCTGCTATCTTGCTCTCATACCCAACATTGAAACAAAAAACTGCCGTCGCACCGCCCACAAACTGACGATGCTTCGCCTCTCCGACTTAGGTTCCATGAAACCTCGCGTCCTACCCCCGGACCAAAAAGACGACCGCGACCAAGACCTCCGCGACGTCGACGACGTCTTCAACAACGACTACGACGAACAAAGCAACGAAAAGCGTCTTGTAGTTCCGCTGACATACAATAGAGATGAGATGTAAGCGTGCTGCGCAATAAGCGCACACTTTGTGTCTAATACCTCGCAGCACCCACACCAACCAACCCCCCTCCCCCCTCCTCCACCTCCCCGCCGAACTCCGCAACAAAATCTACACATTCATCTTCACCAACACCACCATCAACATCAACAAGCTCCTTATCAAAAAAGACGTGCTCGGCCGCTACCCCAGCGTCCGCGCGGTCCTCTACACCTGCCGCCAGATCTACATCGAAGCCAGCGCTTTGTCCTTCACGCTGTGTACCTTTGTACCCAGCTACTTCGCCCTGCGTTTCTTTTCTTCTTCCAACCTACCGACCGCGGGCTTTGGGAGGATAGAACGTTTGTGGTTGACGGAGGGGAATGGGAAAGCCATCATCGAGGGAAAGGATGAAATGAAGGGAGCCTATCTGAAGGAATGGTTTGCTTCACTAAAGCTCTTGGAGATAGAAGTCTGGCGTCTGAAGGTAAACTTGACGGACGCTCAGGCAAGAGAGAAGGTGAGGGATGCGTTTGGGGTGCCGGATCTGTGTATTGTGGGTAGGCGCGTGGGTGAGGATGGGGTGGTTGCTGTTTAATGGTTTGGATGGGATGGGGTACTGGCGTATGACGGATGGTCGGAATTGGGCTTGGAGTTTAATAGCTTAATGTCATGTTGCGATATGGGTTCATAGGCTTCCTGAGGAATGAGGAAAGTCGCGTTCGGCGTTTAGCCCCGCGCTAACATCTAATCCCCGACCTCGGGACTCCACAAGTCCTGCTTACATAACGCACTCGCCCTCTTCCTCACCAAACCGCCTTCCAGAGTCCAGGTTTCCAGCCCCATCGCTCATCCCCCCATCCGCATTCGCATTAGCGCTGCAACTCCCAAGTACATCTGTACCATTTCAATCCCAATCCAATCCCAATACTCCCTCGTCGATTAAAGACGTAAGGAATCGCAAAGTCGGTATTACAGAGAAAGAGCTAGGAAAAAGACAGACATACAACACAACACCACACACATCCCCACGAAAATGGATATCCGCGTCCTACGCCCATCGGACATTCCGCATGTTCAGCTGGCGAATATTACGAATTTGCCCGAGAACTACTTTTGCAAGTATTACTTGTATCATGCGATGAGTTGGCCGCAGTTGAGCTATGTGGCTGTTGATGTAAGTTTCTTGTGTTTATGTTTGTTTTTGTATCTGGGGAAGAGCAGGGAACTGGTGTAAAGAGGAGGGATTGAAGGATGAGAGTCGCAGTTGTTCGCGAGTGCTGCGCTTGGCTTGTTCATGAAATAATGGTTGAGCAACGGGGACGTCGTATACGTGGAACACGTGACGATCTGCTGTTACTTGTCCTTTCGATATTGGATCACACTTTGATACGTTTTGCACGTTACTAACAACCCCCAGGTATCCCGCCCCCCAAAAACCCCCTACGACCCCCCGAAGATCGTAGGCTACGTCCTCGCCAAAATGGAGGAAGAGCCCACCGACGGTGTCCAACACGGCCACATCACTTCGTTATCCGTAATGCGCACCCACCGCCGCCTGGGTCTCGCTGAGAAACTAATGCGCCAATCCCAACGCGCCATGGCCGAGACCTTCAACGCGCACTACGTCTCCCTACACGTCCGCGTCTCCAACAACGCAGCCCTGCATCTCTACCGCGAAACCCTCGGTTTCACCGTCGACAAGATCGAAGCGAAATACTATGCTGATGGTGAGGATGCGTATAGTATGAGGATTGAACTGGCGGAGCTGAAGGAGCAGTTGAGGGATGAGGAGGAGGAGATTTTTGGGAGTGAGGGGGTTGATGAGGGGGATGCGGTTGGGAGTGAGGGTGTTAAGGTACGTTTTATTCACAACGGAGCTATATCCTAGCTGGGGATGATTGGGGCGGGGTTGGGGGTAGATCGGAATGGGATGTGTGCTAACAATTGATACAGGAGAAGAAGCCCGCGAAGAAGACAAAGGTCAAGGTGGGTAGGGGGAAGGGTGTTGTGGATCTTGTGGAGAAGAATGAGGCGGCTGCTGCTTAGGAGACAGGAGTTGCCATTGCTGAGATTTATACGAGGATACGGTCTGGGATGTGGAGGGGATAAGGGAGGATGTTGAACGGCTTGCACTGGGATTGAGAGAGAATGGATGATGGTGGTGTGTTAGCATTAGTTTATTGGAAGCACATTCGTTGTGCTGTAGAAGCCCTAGAGGAGGTACGCTATCCAGCGTATATCCATATCTGGCCTACTCATGCTATGCTATACCACGCCATATGCTACCGTATATTCTAAATTTCCAACTCCATCTCCATGCAACAAGGAAGTAGACTACCAAAAGAAGAAGAAGAAAGAAGGAAAAACGCCCATCAATGTACCTTGTTGGATATCATAAAATGCCCAGATCATAATGCCCGCCACATAAAACATCATCTTCCCCAATCTCCTACATCAACCCCCCAAGAACAACCTTCCCCACACCTCCCACCTCACTCTTAAGCCCCGCCCGACAACTATCCTCAAACTCGCGCACAACCCCCGCAAGAATAATCTTCCTCACGCGCGCATCCGCTTTATTGAACAAATCCCCCACCAAACTAGGCACCCCACCCCCCGCACTCGCCACACTCTCAGGCGTACTAAGCATACTAAGTATCTTCGTATAACAATCAATCAGAACATCGCACAGCGTAGCAAACGTGCTGAAGAAATCGGGGTCGAACGGTAAACTCGGAGTCTGGAGATGCGTGTAGCTTTCATTCGGGAGCAGGGAATCGTCTGTTGTAGGCGGGGAGTCAAACCCGCCGCCCATGCCACCGCTTGTTTCCGACCCGGTGAAACTGTTGCTTGGAGTGAGGAGCGGGAAATCGCCGTTCGCGCTGCTGGACCGCCGGCCTTTACTGCCCATTGACATGCCCATGCCCATTCCCATGCCCATGTTTGCGCGCTTGAACATCTGGGGGAGGCGGGCGCGGGAGAGCGAGGATGGGGTGGAGCCGTCGGCCGGGTGGATGGATTGGTATTGTTCGAATTCTAACAGGAGGGCGTTGAGGGCTTTGAGGTAGTCGGACGGGGAGTTGGCGTTTAGGTCGAGGATCGTTGGGAGGGAGAAGCCGAGGAGGAGGTAGTGGGTTGCGCGTCGCGCTTGGTTGCGCGTTGTGAAGGAGGGGAGGCGCGTGAGGTCTGTTTTGGAGAAGAGGAGCGTGTTGAACCAGTAGATGCGGCCTTCGTGGCTGGAGGGGGTTAGTGAGGGTACAATAGAATAGGGAAGATAGAAGGACTCACGCCTTCCGCAGGTAGTCGAGGGTGGATATGCGTTTCGAGGCGAGCTCGTGGATGTGCTGGAAGACGAGGTTGGGGTTGGAGCCGTTGGGGACGGGGATGGGGGCGGCAGGTGCTAACGTGCGGTTGGACTGCTGGTTTGCCTGGAGGATCTCCTTCTGGGAGGGCGGATGGCGCAGCGGGATGGGGACAGCCATGTTGGCGAAGGGAGTCTTGGGCTTGTCGACGGCGCTGAGGGGGCTCTTCTCGTAGACCTGGGCCTGGGGTTGCTGCACACTGCCACCCTCGGTCTTGACGTTCTCGCTGCTTTTTTGCTTGCTGCGCGAAAAGGTGGATATGGAGAGGGCGGGCCGCGAGGCATTCGTCACACTGGCGGGCACGGGGGCCTTCTCGGGGGAGTAGGCGAGGGCCAGGGTGGCCGAGGGGGTCCTCTTATGCGAGGACGAGGCCGACGCGTTGGTGCGAAGCGAGGCGGACCGTGACCTCCGCAGCGTGGACCCGAGATCGGTGACGGACGAGGCGATGCTGTGCCTGCTGCTGGCGTGCCTGCGTCGTGGTGGCGTCGCTGCGAGTCGGGCGGGAAACTCGTATTGGTCGAGCTCGAGAGGGGGTGTCTTTAGCCCGGGGTTGGCCGCGGGGGTGATGTTGAGTTGGGGCGGCGCGAGGGTCGAGTTTGTTTGCTTGTGTCCTTGTCCCTTGGTCTTGCCGCCGAAAAACGAGGGGCGGCGGGAGAAGAGGCCCTGGCTGGAGTTGTCGGCCATGCTGGTAGCCCATGTGCTTTCCCAGACGTGTGGGGCTACCGAGCGATCAGGGGCTGTTTCACCACGGACCCTGATAACATTGCGGCGTTGCGCTTCTAGAAGACGTGTGCTACTCGTAAATATACTACGTAGTCTTTGTTAAAATGTAGGTGAGGAGACGCGCAGACGGGACTGCACGCTATAAGGCAGATACTGGCGCGCAAAACGAAAACGTGTTTCGATTCGCGGCTACAGCTGATACCGTGAGAACCTATCCCGACGCAGGAACAAGCCGCCCGACGCCCATCCCTGCCCACCGCCTCTGCCCCTGTCGCCTACATTGCCATAGCTTCACTGACTATGCCATTTGCCCACGTGCGGCTATCAGCACGTTAGGCTGAATCCAGAGTGGCAGGTGCTGCTTCCAAGCTCCAAGCTTCCAAGCTTTCCAGTCCCACGGTTCAGACTCGACACCGTCCGACTCTCTGCCATACCATTGCTATCAGGCACCGCTGTTGTCCGAGTACAGTTGCTGCCAGCCCCGCCAACTACCCCACGTCACGATGCAGCGCAGACAGAGCGCACGAGTACGCACCACCACGCCCATCCATATCCGCGCAACACTAACGAAACACAGGGAGAGTGGATTCCCTCAGAGGGACAGTGGCCCGTGGATCCTCAGGAAGACGTCGAGGTTTCGGAGCAGCGCATATGGGTCGATGGCTGTTTCGACTTTGCTCACCACGGTATGCCGACTGCCGCATTCGAGGTATCCAGCGCTTACAGAGACAGGCCATGCGGGCGCCATGCTGCAGGCGCGCCAGCTGGGCAACGAGCTGTTCGTCGGTGTGCACTCGGATGAGTCCATCATGGAGAACAAGGGCCCGACGGTGATGCGCCTCGACGAACGGTGCGCACGACTATGACGAATGCGCCGCCTTGAAAGCTAACAATATCAGTGTCGCCGCCGTCGAAGCCTGCCGATGGGCTACCAAAGCCGTCCCGAGGGCGCCCTACGTAACCTCGCTGCCTTGGATCACCCACTACGGCTGCCAATACGTCGTACACGGCGATGACATCACCTCCGACAGCGACGGAAAGGACTGCTACCGCTATGTCAAGGCAGCGGGGAGGTTCAAGGTCGTTAAGCGCACACCCGGTATCTCGACGACCGACCTCGTGGGCCGCATGCTGCTGTGCACCAAGTCGCACTTCATACCATCGCTGGAGAAGAGACTGTCCGGGGACGAGGGCCCGGGCGACGAGAAGGAGCGGTTAAAGACGGGAGAGGAGATGCTTCAGCGCATCAAGGACTATGCGACTGACGCCTCAGGTCGCGCGCCCGGCTGCGACGTGTGGTACTGGCATGCTTCGCGGCCCGTCAAGCTACGGAGGACAACCACCAGCAACACGGTCACCTCGCCAACCTCACCCACTGCGCCGCGTCCCGGCACCGTCCGCCAGGCCTCAACCGCCTCCGCCCTCGGACCCGTCAAGGAAGAAAAGGGCAAGTTCCATGAGTTGGTCAAGGGCAAGGGCGTCAAGCCTGGCCAAAAGGTCATCTATGTCGATGGAGGCTGGGATCTCTTCTCATCAGGCCACATCGAGTTCCTCCGCCTCGTCACACAGTCCGAAGAAGAAGCCGCCAAGGAGGGCGGCTGGTACACCGACGAAGCAAAAGCAGCGCGCATAGAAAAGTCTGGCGAAGACTACGGCCCCATCTTCCTCATCGCCGGCATCCACGACGACGAAGTCATCAACCACTGGAAAGGCATCAACTACCCCATCATGAACATTTTCGAGCGCGGCCTCTGCGTCCTCCAATGCAAAGTACGTCCCCTCCTGACTTTCACTTAACGCAGGAACTAATGTCTGATCTCTAGTACGTCCACGCCGCCATCTTCGGCGCCCCCTTCTCCCTCTCCAAAGCCTTCCTGCACACGCTCCCCTACGCCCAACCCCTCACCGTCTACCACGGCAAAACCACCTTCATGCCCCTCGCCTTCGACCCCTACGCCGTCCCCAAGGCCCTCAACATATACCGCGAAATCGCTAACCACGACTTCCAAAACGTAAACGCTGCGGAGATTGTAGCAAGGATTATGAAGGGGCGTGCGCTGTATGAGGAGAGGCAGCGCAAGAAGGGCGAGAAGGGCATGACGGAGGAGGTGGAGAGGATTCGCCAGGAGATGGAGAGGGAGCAGAAGAGGAGGGAGGTGGAGGGGCAGTTTGGGCTGTAGGGGGGTTGGGGTTGGGGATTTGTGTGTGGAGGGGGGCAGGATGGAGAGGGATGCGATGTTGCTAGCGGTTCCGACGTTATATACCAATCTTCAACAGATATTCATATGCTCTCCCCACCGTACAAGACATGGTTCAGATCACAGGTCAGCTGATCTGGTCCAGTATCGCCACACTCAAATAAGCAACCCCGAATCGCCGTCTATCAAAGCCAGCTTTTAGCGCTCCACCGAAATCCGCCGAAGCGAAAAAAGTGATTCAACAGCCTCGTCATACTCGTCCTCCGTCTCCCCCAACAACATCTCAAAGCAGACCTCCTCAACCCCACATTACACCTTCAACGCCTCCCGGACGTCCTCCCATTCCCTCATCCATTCATCAAGATACACCCTAGGGTCTCCAACTTCGGCGTGCAAATCTCAGGTAAACGGCCTCGACGTGGATACCTATAGCTCCTCTCAATGACCTCAGCAAATTCATCCGAGATCCTGAGCGAGGTGATGAGACTAAAGACCTTGGGCTTGAGGCTCTGAGGTAGCCAGCGTGAGTTCAGGAAACTTGGATACATTGTCGAGGAAGTGTAGAAGGGTGCGGTGGCTTCGTGGCGGATTTGCCTACAGACGCTTAGGAGGGGTGGGGGATAGATGGACATTTTGATCTTGACAATTGCTCGTTTTCGCCTACAAAATCCTACCCAATAGTCATTCCAGTCCACCCGCGTTCTAGCATCTCTACCCACTGCCTCTTTCCTTATCAGCAACACAAAAGAATGTGTTGAGCTTCACCCTCTTTCCATAAACGTCCAATGTCTGACCAACAGCTCCTTTGACGGAAAATACTTCTCACCCAACCTCTCCTCAACCACCACATCCAACCCATCATCCCCAAACCACTTCCTTATCGCTTCCTTTGTCGAATCGCCCTGATAGTGGCCAGATGGCCAATTCCTGAACATGACGCACACACGCTCCAAGCGCGGTAAGTGCAAGGTACACGCTTTGGTAGCTTGTGAGTTCGTCTCGCGCTTATCAACCTCCTGTTCCATGAGGTCAAGGAAGACCTCGCTGATTCGGAGGGAAGTTATGTAGGCGCAGAGGCTGTGTGAGTGTTTCGAATATAGCAAGTACCACGCGTCGCCGGGAAGGGTGTCGATATTAGTCTGAGCGTATACAATTGCGGTAGCTTCGGAGCGGGTCTGGTGGCAGGTGGAGAGGAGGCCTGGGAGGTGGAATTGCACGGTGAATTTGGAAGGGGTTGAATTGGTGATGGTCGCGACGATGTGGACCTGTGATGAGTGGCCTACATAGGTGTAGATCTTGTTGCGCAATTCGGCCGGGAGGCGGAGAAGAGGGGACGTAAGTGTGTTGGTAAGCGTGCTAGGCGTGTGCGTTAGTAGGTGGATGATGGTCTTTAGTGAGGGCGCAGGTGGCGGAGACATACATTTCGGACATGGCAGTGTCGATGTCAGCGGCTGTAGAAGACGGAGATTCCATTATGTGTGGGTTGGAGAATGTAGGGTGTATTGGTCTCGGCTAGTCGGTAGGTGACTGAACAGGGATGAGGACTTGGAGCGGACAAACAGTTCACTGTATTTCGCATAATTCAGACTAGTGCAGTTAGAGCACTAGCGATGATGCTAGCTTATCTGCCGTTATACCGCCCACTGTTCGAATTCAACGTACCTAGGTACACAGCCTCCCCTACTTGCCCAACATGGAGACTACAGCCGCAACCACGACCACACCTGTAGCCCCCGAAACCAACAGCGCAATGTCCGCTATGTATGCACCCCGTTTTATATCCATTAACCTACACTAACCAGCAACATAGCACTCATCCCACATCCCCATTCCTCCGCCTACCCGCCGAACTCCGCAACAACATCTACACCTTCGTCGGTATCTCAACCAGCGTAGTACTCTTTGAATTACAGAGCTTCTCCAAACATCCATGCTCTCGCACTATTACACCCATCCTGAGCACGTGTAAACAAATCCGCAGCGAAGCCACAGCTCTCATCTACGCAAACGCCACCTTCGACACTACCCGCGGCTACGAGGGCTTCTTTTCTATCACGTGTTGCCCCAACGTGAAGAGCTGTACTAGGCTACGGATTTCCTGGGCGGTTTCGTGTCAAGTCGCAGGATACGTTTATACAAACATAGGCATGCCTGTTGTATGCCCCCTGCCGAATCTGAAGAGGGTGGAGGTCATGTGCGCATCGGAGAGGGGATGTGAGATGATCAGAGGACGGCTGAGGGAATGGTTCAGAAAGGAGGATTTGGTGGTTAAGTTTAGGGATGATGGGGGTATGTTGACGAATTGGTAGAGATCTGGATACCTGGGCATCTGTGGGAGGTTAAGGTCGACAGAGTTACGTAGAGAACTCGAAGAGAGCGATCTGTTTATTATGTTATGTGCTGTTTAGCCAACACCAATCACTTAAGAGGCTAGATCCTCCGCACTGAGGACAGAGAGAAGAGATCGACTTGCAGCCATGTAGTTCTCGAAGCCCATTTCCTCTCTCGTATCCAATCCCAACTATCCGCCTCTAAACGTCTCCGCTGACCATCTCTCCATGACTGGGAGCCTGGGCACACTCTATCGTCACCTAACTCAAGCCCAATGCATACATTCCCCTAATCAACCTCGAAGCCGGAAACGCCACGACGAGCCTCAGCCCTGACCTTCAAAGTGTCGTTGCCGAACCACTCTCTCACGCGCGGCGGTCTACGACGCACATCTGCGGGCGTAGACTTCACATGAACAATCTCCAAGCTTGGCAAGTTCAATGGACAGCACTTGGTGTCTCGCCTCTGGAGGAGGCGCAGCCAAACCTCCTCTGCCATGACAAGTGAGCGCGCCTCTGGGATCCTCAACGAAGTAATTTGGCGGGAGACTTTGTTGTCGCAATCGGATTTTAGCCAGCGCCAGTCGTTGTCGCCTTGAGTGGTGTCGAATGTGCATGTTGCGTAGATTATCGGTGTCGCTTCGTGGAGGGTTTGCTTGCACGCGCTCAGCAGACCTGGGAGGTGGAATTTGTATTTGACGAGCAGGCTGCAGGTGGCGCTTAGCGATAGAATTGCCTCGATTCGGATAATCGTAGACAGGGCCACATAGGTGTAGATGGCGTTGCGGAGTTCGGCGGGGAGGCGGAGGAGGGGGGACGTTAGGGCGTTGGTGAGAGTGCTGGGCGTGTGCGTCAGTGGGTGGTGTTAAGTAGATGGCGGAGGGCTTACATTTGGGACATGACGGTGGAAGATACGACGGCTCTAGAAGAACATTCCGTTCTTTGGACGGACGGAGAGTAGAGTATAATGATTTTGATTAGTGGGTAGGTAGTTGACGGAATTCAGTAGATGATTTGAAGTGAGTGCTCCCGAGGTCGATTTATCTGCAATGCGCTAGCTGTCTAGCCAAGGACTGATACTGCAGTCCGCTTCTCTTTTGACTGGCCAGTTGTCGTAACGTATGAAGTACCCTCTTCCTGCTCATCGCCCATTCTCTCAGTCACACAAAGATGACTTGCAGAGTATCCTTCTTGCACCACGCCTTCAGTGATTCCCTTACGGTAACTTCCCACATTTCCCTCCATCCGCCAGACTCGATGTAAATTCTCTCCACGTTCGGCAGCCATTTAGTCGGAAATCGCAGTTCTTCACATAATATACCACCATCTCGAAGATGCTGCGAAATGTAGCGCGCAAATAGACCACTAATCTTAATCGAGGTAACGAACTCGTTGATTCCGTGGTCGCAGCTGCCGTACAGCCAGGCACCCGTGTGACACTCAGTGAAATCGAAGAGAGCTGATCTGTACACTATTGAGGTGGCTTCGTGTCGGATTTGTTTGCATGTCTCGAGTTCTTTTGGAAGCTGGAAGCTGCACGTGAAATACCCTTCAGATTGAACGGCTTTGATGATAGTAGAGAGGCCGACGTAGGTGTAGATCTGGTTTCGCAGCTCAGCGGGCAGGCTAAGGAGTGGAGAGGTGAGTTGATTCGCGGATGTGCTGGGGTTATTGTCAGTGGGAAGTGCGGGGAACGGCGGTGGACGTACATTTTTGACATGGCGATGTTGAGTCCATCGGCTGTAGATGGCGTTGTCATTTTGCGTGTGTGGGGAGAAGATGTAGGGTATGTTAATTTGGCTGGTCAGTGGAACATGGAACTAAATAGTGAGCTCGAAGGAAGCGATAGTATTATCATGTAATTTACTAGCTCGCCAAGAGCTAACACCGTGATTTGGTCGTGAGCTTGGACTATCCAAGGTCACTACTGTTTAGAAAAACATTCGGAGGTGACGTACTTTGAACGGTTCCTCATTTCCTTCTTTGAAGCTGCTTTCTATTCGTCTTGATAAATGGTCGTTCTCATACTCAGCCATGCTGGTACAGAGAAGGCACCTGCCCACGGTCACTTTTAGTACTAAACCGAGATTCTCGTTGCTATGAGTAAAGGAATTCATCTCGTAGCCGGCAGAGAAGAGAAAGCATCCAACGGCCTTAGCTAGGGACTATTCATATGGAACCAACTTCATCTCCGAAGAGCCCTCCTCATGTTCCTTCTAATCAATTTCCTTCTACTTATCCACGATGATGACCTCGAGGGAATCATTCCCACACCGACTTTTCAGACTCGCCCTGGCTCTAATACGTCCCCCGCGATGAGTCCATCCCGTCGACTCAACATAAACCCTCTCCAGATTCGGCAGCCATCTAGTAAGAGGCTTGTACACTGTGCCATTTGCACTAGCTTTAGGTTTCGAGGGCTTAACCATGGCGAAATCTCTCGCAATCCGGATTGAGGTGACGAACTCGAAGAAGTCTTGGCTGCGACGAGGAATGAGCAACAGGCCGGCGTCGCAGCCGACCAAGTCGAAAACGGCGTGTTTGCATATCAGCGTTGTAGCTTCTTGGCGGACTTGCTTGCACGTGCTGAGGAGGTTAGGGCGCTGGAATTTGAGTTCTTTAGCGTCATCCCACGAAATAGTTGATGACCAGAGGAGGGTGAAGACGCGAATAGTAGTTGAAAGGCCGACGTAGGCGTAGATCTGATTTCGTAGCTCAGCGGGGAGGCGGAGAAGCTGCGACTCGAGCTGGTTTCTGACAGTGCTTGGTTCAGATGTTAGTACGTGCTATTGGGTGAGAGACAGCGAGCTTACATGTTTGCTTCAGTCTCGTCACCTAGGAATTCCGCGGAAGAAGCGTTGGTCTCCATGTCGTAGGGGCGCGGAGTTTGGCGGCGCTGACCCTGGTTGTGGGTGGTGGGCGAAGGGAGATAGAGAGGTTGGGAAGTGAAGGCAGTGTTTACTGCGCTATCTCGGAAGGCGCTAGTGCGGAAATCGACTACCTAAGTAATTTTTGTGACTAATCAGGCCCATTTGCCTCTAAGGTCACTTCTCAGACCTTGCATCTCTTGAGCTGCTCGGGGGGTGGGGACTGCTGAGTGCTTCATTCTCGCGGCCTACGATTTCGTAGCAACTGGGTACACGGTCTATCAACGGTGCATGGAACTGAAACGACCCTTAAATTGTGCAAAATGCTGTTCCAACTACTCTCGTCCTCTTAATCAACACAGTCTTTTCGTAGACCGTGAGTGACGACTTTCCTAGCCAGCGTAATGATCAAAGATGATCTCGAGTGATTCATTTTCAAACCATTTGCTCATAGCTGCTGAATAGTTGTCCTTCCGACCCCAGTATACACTCTGTAAGTGCACTCTCTCAAGACCTGGTAGGTCTCCTGCTGATGACGCTGATCCCCAAGGACGTGAACGTTCACGACCGGAAATTACGGAATCAGCCAAGAAACCCGACATCCTGATTGAGGTAATTAGGGTGCGAATGGTGCGAATGAAGCCACTCTGGCGCAGGAAGCCCCAGCTGTGGTTGGTGATGTCGAAAGTGGCTAGACTGTAGAGCAACGTCGTGGCTTCGTGGTGGATCTGCTTGCAGCTTTTGATAAATCCCGGAGCTCGTAGATAGAAGGTGTAATTTGGAGACAGGTCTTCCAAGACTCCTATCACTTCGATCTTCGTAGAGAGCGAAACGTAGGTGTAGATCTTGTTTCGAATTTCGGCTGGGAGGCGAAGAAGAGGTGAGTCGAGCTGGTTCTTGAGCGTACTAGCCGAGGTGTTAGTTATCGTGCGAGTGCTTCTGGGTCTTTCAGGCTTACATTTCCGACATTGCGCTGTCGCAAGGCAATGCTGCAGGTGCGAGATCACTCTGCATCGTGAGTATCGCGCGGGAGGATAAAGTTGGTAAGCCGACGAAGGACAGAAGTAATCGCAGCTAAAGGCCAAATGTTGAAGTGTCTTGGTAAGCGAGGTGAGAGTGAGTTGTTGTTGATTCGAGTAGAGGAAGCGAATAACTAGTGGCTATTTCCCTTTTGGGTAGCAGTAGACGCTATGACGTACGCGTCGCGCTCTCATCTAACAGAACCCTTCTCATACCCCTACCCAGTTTTCTCAAAGACAATTTCAAGATCCTGGTTCCTAGTGCAAGCTCGCAATTTATCCCGTATGTCCTTGCTCATATACGATCCCATGGGTAAAGCCAATACGTATACTCGTTTCAAAGCCGGAAAGGCTGGACGCTCCAGCTTACACAGCTCGTCCACGCCCTCATAGTGCATGCGAACGGATGTCATAAGTCGATAAACCGGTAGCCTCGAGATCCGCTTGATCCACGAATGATCCTTATCGGAGACCCTGTAGGTCACACGGTCGAAGAATATCGCACGGGCTTCATAGCGGAGCTGGGAACAGGTTGATATAAGAGCCGTGAATCTTTCGTACGTGTAATTACTCCAGCGGTATATACGGATGTACATACTGCTAAATGTGTACACGTAGATCTTGTTACGGATCTCGCCTGGAAGTCGGAGAAGTGGAGAATGAAGCTGGTTTTGAGTCGTACTGGGTAAATTGTCAGTTAGTGCGGCTGAGTGTTTGCGTGGGAAATGGCTAAACTACATGTCTGTTACGGCGCTGCTATGTCGCATGGCTGGGGGCGAGACCGTGTCTTCGAGGCTGAGGATTGCGATCCTTCTCATTTGATGAGGAGTACCTTTGCGTATGTGGTGGTTCGATGTCGTGTGAGTAGAGGAAGCAGATAGGTTGATTTTGGTACATGGACAGCGCGTGGTAGAAGGAAGTAGGCTGAAGGCTTTGGGTGTGATTTCGTGAATTAGCACAGAAGGACCGACTGCTACCTCGTTTCCATCGGAGAGCTTTGATCATGACGTATCAATACCCTCGTCATTCCCGTATGCGGAACTCGCCCTTGCGATGACCTCTAGAGCGCTGAGCTGTGCGCCACTTGCAAGTCCGCATTTCCCGCCCAAGTTCGTAGCGCGTCAACCCCCAAACTATCCTTTGGCATGCGCGATTTACTCCAACCAGCGACATATACTCGTTCCAGTTCCGGGAAGAGTTTAGCTCCCTGTCGTTCCGCTACAAAATGCTCATCCTCCCGTAGGAGCCTTGTAATCCGCTGCGATCGTAGATGGATGGAAGTGACGAGCTGGTAGTCCGCGTGTGGAAGATTCTCTGGGAACTCCGAGAACAGGAGCGCCCTCAGATCTAATGTCGCATGCGCGAAGAAGATGGCGTGGGCTTCATGGCGCATCTGAAAACAGGTGGATATGATGGCTGTGGACTTGCGAGCTCGAGGACTGTTGTTGAAGACGGCCTGAGTGCGGGAACACGCGTACGCGTAGATCTTGTTGCGTATCTCTCCTGGCAGCCGTAATAGAGGTGAGTCGACCTGGTTCTGAAGGGTGCTGGATACATGTTAGCAGATGCCCGTCGTCTCGATAGGGTTGAATAGTCCAGGTACTTACACCTCGCGAGCTTCTTTGGAAATGAGCACGCGACGCTGACGTGAGGTGACTGTCTGTCGTGACATATTGCTACGCGGGGTCAGGATCGAAGGCCAGGAAGTTATTCCATGGCGCAGAACGCTTACCCAAGTACGTGTGTTTGAGGATTTGTGGACTACACCAACCAGGCAGCGTAGTTGCTCACGAGACTGTATGAGCTAATGGCTTGATGAGAACAATCTGTGGGAAGACAAGAGAAGAGGACTGGTTTCGGCGATCAAGGCGTTTTATATACAGAGGGTGCGTGCGGGAGTGAGTGCAAGACCGGGATTAGACCCTCGAGATCACGCGCCGGATCACGTGCATACGAGCGAAGATGTTCCTTGACGCATTCCTCATGCATTGCTATAAATGAAATTTTGTGTATCCACTAGCACTTTTGGTCCATCCTCAGAGATGCCCAAACATGAGCCCTCGACTCGATCAAAACGGCTTTTTCGGGTACATGAGTGAAATGAAATAGATCAAGAAAGGATGAAATAGCAGCGGCCCAACCCAAGAACTCCATATTATCCGCAGTGATAGTCCGCAGAACCTTTCAACGACGTCCTCGGAGGTATATAGCGCAAGCACCATTGCCAGTGACCTGTAGGTCCTCCTTTTCGAACCACTTTCTCAGCACATCAAATATATAGTCTTCCTTCCAACCAGGACTGTGTATATGTACCCTTTCCACGGCAGCAAAATACCTCCCAGGCATATACTTTGGAAACAAGTCTTCATACTCTTCGTCCTCTTCATAGGTGTATCCCTGGGTCGTCCTCAACGCTGTTGATATGACTACAGAGTCAACGGAGAGCGACGTAATGAGGCTGCAATACTTGGGGTTGAAGCTTTGACGGGAAAGCCATGCCTCGGTACTGGACACCTCGAACGTTGCGAGACCATACATGAGTGTAATCGCCTCGGAGTGCCATTGTTTGCAGGTGAGAAGGAATGTTTGGGTGAAGCGACAGGCAGTTCCAGTACCTTCGGGACGCTTCTCGTAATTCTCGCCGTATCTGATTGTGGTTGTTTCGCAGACGTATCTGTAGATTTGGTTGCGGATCTCGCCAGGTAGACGAAGAATGGGCGAGTTGAGGTGGTTCTTAGTGGCGCTATGCGACTTAGTCAGTGATGTGTGAAGCTCGTAGGCGGCCAATGTAGTGCCACACAAGGGAACTTACATCATGTCACCTTCTTCGGTGGTAGCCGCGCGCTTGAGCAGTTCGTCATGCTCTGCAAGAGCCTTTTCGCGGTCCCAGGCGGCGGTAGTCATCTTGCGGACTTTGATAATGAATGGAGTGTATACAGTGGAATGGAGGGACTTCTTGCAAGACTGTAGTATAAAGATCGCTGTGGTGAGGTGAAGTTTAAAGGTGATCGCGTTCTGTTAAGTATGCCACGGTCAACAATCGAGTATGGAGTCACGTGTTGGTTCAGAGCATCCTCGTCTCTCACCTGTGTCTCTCACCTGGCTATTAGTCCTACGCTTGAGGCTCTACCATAGCCTTCACAGGTAAGTGGGTAGGTTGTTAGTCACTATATTTTGAAAGTAAGACTTGATTCATCAGTAAGATCAGCGAGGATTTTAGAAGAAATTTGTCTTATAACGTTTTTGAATATTCGATCCAATATGTACATTAAACAGAAGCCGCGTACTTTACACTCGGTCAGCCCTACCAAATCTAGGCCTTGGGGCCTGTGGGCTTCTTCATGTAGGTCGGCGCCAGAGGCGGGTCAGCGTTCTTGACCAGCATCTGCACGTACTCGTCGAACCAAGCACCAGCAGCCGGTGCGCCAGTAAGACCGCACTTTCCGTCACTCTCACCACCAGGCTTGATCCAGACAAGAGAGTCGACGTTGGTGTTGTTTTGCTTGGAACCGGGCAGAGGGCCGAACCCAGCAGGTTCAACGTTGCACCACTCGCCCCACTCCTCACGAGCACCGGGAAGGGCGACGCGGCCCTGGTCGATGATGAAGTGGGATGGCAGACCCTCAGCCTCGAGGTAAGGAGCGAGCGATGTGGCGTAGTGACTCTCGTCCCAGGATGGCGAGTACTCGGTGTAGTTCTCGCGGACCTTGGCTTGGAAGGAGTTGTAGTTGGATACGTTGGTGGAGAAACCCCGGATCTTAGCCATGGGGTTGAGCTTCTTCGCCATGGCAACAACCCTGCCGAAGACCTCAGCAGTTGGTTTCAGGTTGTCTGCCCAACCGAGCCAGCCGCCGTGCGCAGCATCGATGTACAGATGTACGTTGGGGTACTGCAGCTTGGATATCGCGTACGCAATACCCTCCTCGTAGATTGGAGTGGCGTTGGCGCAGAAAGGAACGCCCTGGTTGGTGACGGCGTTACCCAGACTGTCGGGCTCAAGAACGATGGCGAAGTCGAGATCCCTGGCCTCAGAAACAAGCTTGGCGTACTTGTCGACAAACTCCTTCTTGTAGATCTGAAGACCATTGTTGGCGGAGCTGAGCTCACCGGCAGACTCGCCGGCAGAGCAATCACGGTCGGGCAGATTGTACAGAACTAGTCCGACGATCATCTTCTTTGGACCCTTCTTTTGTTGACGAGCCTCCTTGATGGCTTGGGGAATGAGGCTGAGACCATCGCGTGTAGTGACCCAAGTGAAAGTCGAGATCTTCTGGGCGACTGTGCGAGTGCGCGCCGCATTGAGAGTGTCGTTCTGGGCAGTGAAGGCTGCAATGGTCTGGTCGAGCTTCTTGCCGTAGCTTTGAACAACATAGCGGTCTTTGCCAGTCCAAGGGTTGACGTTGGGGCCTGGGGGTGGCTTAGGAGCTGCGGACGCAGCACCGGCGAGGGCGGCAGTTGCCAAAACGAACTGTGTGAGTTGTACCATGATGAAACGAGAGGCTTGGAATTGACTCGAGGTGGTGATAAATCGTACGGTGGACTACCTGGGGCTTTTATAGAACGCCATGAGGATGGGCGCCGCGGAAAAGACCCATCCAATCATCCTTTTCTCTTTCAGCAGGCTTGGTACAGGCTTGCCCTTACGTTCACGTGGCTGTATTTAGACTTAGTCAACGGTACCGTCGGCCCGTTGTACATTCTAACAGCACTCAAGACGGTCCAAGTCCTTGGTGAAAAAGCATTGACATCTCGCATACAAAGCGCCACGGCGGCGTTGCTGTAGTGCTTCATCGAAGGCGTAGTGTGCGCTTATTTTGGCGAATGTAAGGAACGGTCGTTCGCCCCTAGATTGGTATGTAGTCCTGTTAACAGTAGATTAGCCAAGGTAAAGTCTACCGGGGCTGTTGCGGGTAGTCAATATATCTGAGCTGTTTACCCGGCTTCTACCCCAGCTTCGTTGAAACATCGACCCCGCAATCCGGCTCGTGATATTGCAGTCCCGGAAAGCGCCCTGCAGATTGGTTGGGGTGGTCAAGCTAACGCTGTGTATATTGCGCATAGAGTACTGTGGGGCTCTTGTGTCATTTCGGACTGCAGCTCGCCATCTGCAGACACTGTACAGAAGATTCGTTGCGTCTTCTAGCGCGACTGTGAGCGGCTGTACCCTGAGGCTGAGTTGGATGTAGATGCTGCACGCACGATGCTGGACCTCCAACACAGAATAGATGTCGAAAGTGATATCGCGAGAGATGAGACGATCGCGCAGATTGAAAGCCCTGTAGCATAGAAACATGTAGGTGAATCTCCTTGCACATGGATGCGCGCCCTACGTGGGATACATGATGACGGCCGTAGGACGACACAGTCAATTATCTGATCGCATATTGTCCTCCAGACGTCCCGAGATCCGACTGAAGGCGTGTTTTGCGGATGGAGCGCGAGAAGGCACGAAAATGATGGTGCTGTGCGACGCGTGTGGCGTGCATGACAGTCGAGGTCGAGCAGAGCACCTCTCAAAGTACAACGTGTCGGAAATCTCAGGAACGCAGTAGTCACGTAGTCGCTCGCGTCGGTTGAGTCGAAATGGAGTGCAGTCGGACGCGTGATATTGCGCAGTGAACGCGACGCGGGTGCCAGAGCGGGAAGCTGATTGCTTCGCCGTTAGCGTCTTGGCAGTGACTGTAGCCTCTCCAAGATTGTCCCATAATCCTTTCAAGCTCGCTACTATGCCTAACGCTACAACTTATCACTTTATTAGGAAATATTCAGCGCTGTAGTAGCTACACCTTATCTAACTATTAGATTTTTGTAGGTAACTATAGCCGCTAGCTAGTTAGAGTTATTAAAGGCAGAATAAGGCGTAGGCGATAGTTAGATTAGATAGAATTATTTCTTATATAGCTTAGCGTACTACATATAAAAGAAAACTAAAATCTAGCTCTAGAACGTATTAATAATATATTTATATCTTATTTTTATAGAAACTATAGAGGCGCTAGTACTCTCTCTACTAGTATTTAACGCTAAGTAGCTTAAAGTACTTTTACTACCTTTTAAGAACGCGTTTAAGAACCTAAATATAGCCTTCTTAGACTTTAGAATAGCTAATAATACACTAAGTAAGAAAAGTAACTCTAAGCTAATTTAACTTATATACTACTTACAACGTTTTTATATTGCGTTTTTAATATAATTTAGAAAGACTCTATTCTACTCTTTATAGGCAGTAATAGCGGCCTAGACCTAATAGTAATATTATATAAGTATATTATAAGTATACTAATATAGCCTAAAAGTACACTAGGTAGCTACGTATATATTATCTACCTACTACCTACCTATATAATATAGAAAGATGCCTTAGGCAAGGCTATTAATGTAAGAGGCCTAAGAACGTAATATTAACGTGTTCTTAATATAATCTAGTTCTAATATAGAAAAGCCTAGAAATATAAAAAGTATATATTCTCTTTACTCTTCTTAAATATAATTATACAACGTTAGAAGTATATTTATATAGGTATTAAGTATTATACTACGCTTACTAAGCTACTTAAGGCTTATTATTATTCTAAAATTATACTTAAGGTAGAGAATATACTTAGAAGCCTAAGAGATACTATTATACCTAATAATAAAATAACTTACTAGAAGTAGGCAGCTAAGTACGTTTAATGTGTACATAACGTGTTTTTAATACGCTTCTACTAACTTTAAAAGCTCTATACTACAACCTTTAGATACTTTATAAGTAGTAGATCTTATAGTAACTAGTAACTAAACTATAGACCTATGTACTTCTAATAGTAATATAAAGTAAGAGATACTATAGACAAAAATATATTTATAATACATAGTAACTAAGTTACAGAGTCTTACTAGTAATAAACCTTAGTTTATTAAGTGTGTAGCCTAGACACATAAACTTAGATATACTAAGAAGTATATCTTCTACGCTATTAGTTCTAAAATAGACCTAGAATACCTTAAGAACTTATTTAATAATAGCTCTCTAGTAGAGAAAGATAATAAAAGAGTATGTAATACTATAGTATTAATATCTGCTAGAACTCTAAGGTATAGTAAGTAACTTTATACTATATTACGTTTAGCGCACATTTATAATACATTTTAGAATATAACTACTTCTATAGAGATAGGTAGCTAGTTAAATAAGCATGTAATAAGGCTAAGTACTATATTATAATTCTAGTAGATCTAGTATCTTATCTATATATAATTGTAATGTGTTATAGAGAGTATATACATATTTCTTCTTCTTCTTTAATTCTAAGCAAAGACCTAAAAGCTAAGCTTCTTATAGTTATTCTTTCTATGTTAACTCTAGGCTTTATATATAGTAAGTCTACTCTCTACGCTTCTATAATACGTTATAATAATATTCTAATTACGTTTAGCTAAGGCTTTAGCATTCTTCTAAGTCTAGGTATAGGTTAAGAGTAAAGGCTTTAGGTCTATTAAGAAGATGTATATTATACTAGCAAACAAAGATAAAATTAGAAGCTTACTTAAAACTTATAAAGCTATAATATACCTTTATAGCTCTAGTATAAAAGGCGTTATATATAAGCTTAGAACTAAGCATTAAGACCTAGCTATAGTAAGTAGCTAGTAACGCGCTAGAAACGTGTTCCTAACATAATATAGGCGTATATCTAATAAATATACTCTACTAATAATAGCATATTTATATACTACTTTCTTAATAAGTAAGCCTCTCTATTACTTTAACAGAACACGTTCTAAATAGACATATTATATAAGCGTATCTATAGTAAGTAGTTTAAGTTACTCTTTGCTATCTTTAATAAAGATACTATAAAATATAAGTAAAAGCACATTAACGCGCCTATAACACGTTCTAAATATAATATAGTAATCTC